TAACCTTGTAATCTGCGTTTTTCATCTCTTCGCGTCTCATGCAGCATTTTTCGGTTAGCGCCCTATAAAGCCATCCAAAAAGTTGCACATATATAAGCAATTGTTTGGTTAGCTAACATTAAAGCTTATAACAAAGAAGGCTGTGGGCATATCCAGCCCTTCCAGAACGACACAAAAATTCAGAGACCTATTTTTCTCGAATCATAGACGTAAGCATCTAATATGGCTGAAAAGAATTTCGGGGATTTCGTATCCACAGCCTTCCTCGGTAAGCAGCACCAACAATCACAAAATTTGTGTCACAGAGACGCTGTACGACAGGACGAGCACAGAAACCACAACGATAATGAAATACGCTTGTAACGGTGGTTAAAGCACAAGTGAATTAATGACAAGCTTAAATCATAACTAACAACCAAAAAAATGATAAAAATTTTCAGCCCCCACATGTAAAACTTGAAAAATTTTGGAGAAAAACTTGGCCATGAGAAAAAGCTTGTCATTTTTCAGCAAATAAGCCAAGTGCAAATTGCGCTTAGCTGCAATTTTTGCAATTACCTGCTAATTTACGCTTTTGGGCTCTTTTGTCTTCGTCCCGTAATTTTCGTTCCGCTCCCTAAGTCAGAAAAAATTTTACAAATCTTGAATCTTTATAAATTTTACAAATATTTCGCTGGGTTTTTTAAATTCTTTGAAATTTTCTTTTAAAATATTGAATGAACAATTCGCTATAAGGCACAAGTGAAACGAACCAAAAATAATCAACGAGATACGAAATTTTTCCATTCATTTCCAAAAAAAGTACTTTTAAATGCTAATCGTACTGTAAAACGTAGCAATAACGAAAATCTTTGGTGTTCCAAATTTCCGTATTTTACTCAGAGTGAGGGAAAAACACCCTGAAGCAGACGAGTAGGGATGGTAGCATACTGCTGTCAGCAGCAACCAACTAATAAAGTTGTTGATAGTTGACTTGTGAAGCTTGTTTAAAAGCAAGCTGACAGCGGTCCTGTTTCCTTACAGGAATCAGCCAGCACCAACGCGTTACCAAAATAAATCGACCGGTAGTGAAGGGATTGGTTTTCCTAATCGAACAAAAAGCCATAACAAACTAGCGGCTTTAGAGACGACAAGAGCAGTATTGAGGTTAATATTTTCATAGGCTCTGGTTATTAAGATTCAATCAAGTTAAATCGATTTTTGCAATTTGTAAGGGAAATTTTCGTTTGAAAAGGTTTTTCGAACTGCTCAAAATTACAGCAACTGCAAAATTTTGAACTGCGTGAAACCTGATTGCAAAAAAAAAGATGAATTCTCTGAACAGAGATGTCTATGCTGCTCAATAACACGTTGCACTACAAACATTCAATCAGTGAAGTGTATAGGTAAAAGACGAAAAATACTGTAGTCTCTATGAGTTTTCTTAAACTCATTGTGAAGTTTTTTGGACTTTCATAAAATTTTTAAAGAGCTTGGCGAATTCTTATTCCCTGAAGAATATAATGTTTGATGGGTAGGGGGTCTTAATCGCCTTACTGAGAATCGGTGGATGTCACGCATCAGTGAATGATACCCGCAAGGAAGTAAAAAACTAATTAGGTGGCCTTAGAAAAGATGAGGCACACAGTGAACAGGCCATGAGTACTAAGTGGAGGTAATACAACTCAGGAATGAGAAGCCTGGCATAACTGCGGGCCTAATGTATGACAGCACACCGATAAAATAATCATAAGGGGATAACCAGACTGACAGCCCGGGTGGTATTGGCGTTTTCGATATTCTTTCTAAGACAGAAAATTTTGAAAAATTAACAGTCACAAAAAATGTACTACAAATTTAGTCTGTTCATTACAATACACAAAATATTTTTCATTTTGCTCGCCCGTATTTTTTTTTTTGTTATTGTTCACTTCTGGAAGAATGAGCAAAACGACAGCAAACCTTATCGCAGAAGACCTTGATCTGGCAGTATCCCCGATGGAAAGGCACATCAGCATTGTCGTTTTCATCGTAGGTGTCTATCTGGATATGCAGTGGAAGGCCTTTGACGCCTTTCTGATTACTAAAATCAGTTGACAAGCACTGCACCGCGATGCTGATCTGAAATTGTGCAACTAAGTTTTGTCTTGAATAACTTAAATAACTGACAGAGTAATCAGCTGCACTTGTCTTTTCGCCGCGCTAAATTGTTGTTTTTTTGTAAGTCGGAAAAAAGTGAAATTTGGGCGCCAGCGCCTGTATTGGTTTAATTCTTATATTTTTAAGTAATAATGCGAGTAATTAGTAGTCAAGATTTTTTCAGAGTAAGAGTTTTGGTCGAAAAAGAAAAACACTTTTAGGAATCTATCGGAAAATCACACTGGAAACTATTTTTACATTTCTTAATTATTAAAGGTTAAAAAAGGGGCAAACAACCAGTCTTAAATCATATTTCAAGAGGCGAACAACCAGTCCCTCTACAGTTCGTTCATTCGCTTCGATGAAAAAAACTGGCATTGAAATATGGAAGGGAGCCGGACCCTCTATCAGCTTACTTGGAAGCATTCCTCGAAAGTAGAAGCCATTGACAACCCTGCTAGTGGATGATTCTTATTGGCACTTATTACCGCTAGCGCTACTTTCCGGGTGCCTTTGCCTCTCAGAAAGAACCAATATGAAAGGAGTTTTGGCTCTGACTTTAATTAATGAAATGAAATCCAGGAATTGGACCAAAATTCGAAAACACATGAAATTTCAAAACACATGACACATGTCCTTCTGTGACACATTGAAATTTGATAACACATATCTCTCCTTTAAAGACCAGGGTTGATTGCAACAATTTGGTATAATGTTTAGCTGTACGAGACGAGTTATTTCGTGATTTTGGGCCGGAAATTAAACAAAATTTGCGCCCCAAATTCCAGGGACTGATTTCGTCAGCACTGTAAATCCGTCAATTTAAATTTTTCCCAAAGATGATCAGAAATGGTCCTTGTCGCCTGACCCTCTCCCCCTCCCATTCCTGTCTTTTCGCTTTCACTCCCTTCACTTGCTCACTCCTCACTCGTTTCCCATTCCCAACCTCCCTAAATGCATGTTTAATGCCAGAAAGAAGAAAAAGGTGCGGGAAAGAGACATTCTCCTGATTATAATGAAAGGGAATTTTACCAAACAAGGGAAATCATAGGGGATATGATGGATGTTCGAAAATTTTGGTTAATAGATTTGCGATCGGGCGTGCAACAATCCTGGCGATTCTCGACAATGGGGTCAAAACTGGCTTAGTGACCAACAAGAGATACTGTTGGCTCCACTCGTTATTATAGTAATACGAATAATACCAGAGAAACATTCATCCTAGGCCGAAGCCTTTATTTTCACTTTTGCCAGCTGGGTAAACAGGAGGTAAAGGAAAAAATAAAAGCAGGCATCTTTTTTCGAGGATAAGAGACTGTTATCAAAGAATTGATATAATTCTAAATTTTTTATTTATTATTAGATTAACAGCTTATCAAAATATTGTATGTGAGTTAGAAAAGTATCTTTTGGCCTATTTTGCTAAAAAATCTTTCTGGGATCTGCCAAAATGCCCTTATCTTCGGAATGATCCTGGTGATTGACTAGTACCGAAATGCTTCTTCGATTTTCTTGCAAAAAAATTTGGGTTATTTCGTACATGAATGATTCACAATAAAACTTCTCTTTTATATTGCACAATAATAAAATTACTCGTACTGCACATTCTTTACTCAGCTTTCAAAATTTTTTCCAGAAAAATTTCTGAGAGAAAAAACTAGGAAAGCAACCTTAACCTGAGTGTTAATTTAAAGAGCAAAAATTTGTCTTCCACCTCGTTTTCCTTTTGGCTCACTTGTTCAAATTCTCCTCAGATATTATTATTTAATAGTTTAAGAAAAAGTAACAAATTTATAAAATAAAAGTACAAAATGATAAAGCCGCACTGAATAAATGAAGATAGCGGGCAAATAGCGGCTTAATTTTCTGGCGCTCAGCCTTTTCACTGCGTACATGGTACCAAAAAAAAGAAAGAGGGAGGGAGAGGATGAGTACTATTCAAAATGAATCCTTACTTTGACGCTTGACTGTTCGGTTGGATTCCAGTAAAACTGCACAGCGTTGTGAGCGATTTCTTCAATTTGACCAATCATTCCGGAACTATTCTTAGCATCGATTTCTAATATTCGCTGTTTGACAGAATGCTGCCTGGAGTGCCAGAATTGCCAGGTTTTGATTTCTTCCTCGTAAGTTTTATCTTCTCGGAAGACGATCATCAGCTGGCTCTGCATTATAATTTTCATTTGCAGGGAAGACTTTTTTGATCAAAAATAATCAATTTAATGACAAATGTTGAACATATTAGGACACCAGTGAATTAGAAAAACGCTTTTAAAAGCTTGTATAGAATTGTGTTGATGTGACAGATTACGATCAAGATGTGGAAGTAGTAAGTTGCTTCAGTACAGCTTCAGTGATGAGGAGGAACACAACGATGAAAACAGAGTTAAGATATCAAAACAAAGTAAACCATTTTGAGCTAAATAGTACAGTATCTTAATCGCGGCTCTTTTTTGAATCCAGCAATGATTTTCAGTTTAGATAAAAAGGAAGGAATTAAGATTTAAAAAAAGGAACTGGATTAATATGAATATGAGCTAGCAAATGGCCTTGATAACAAGTTGAATACGATGTGAATTCTGGAAAAATGACTATTTTTGATTTGAAGTTTAAGATCTTCAGAGACATAAATATCCTCTAAATCTTACAACAAAATGGATGTGAAGGTGCAAAACCCAGGTTCGAGGAGTCTGGCGTAGCTGCGCTTGGCATGCGAGAGCATCCCAATAACAAAACTAACAGGGATACTCTTAATGACAGTTCAAGTAGCCTTAATATTTTTGATATTGATATCGATTTTTTAATGCAATAAAACTTTAAATTCTTTTTAAATCCACGAGCGCTTTTGATCAGCGAGTTTTTCCCTACACAACACGAGTTTCAAACTGTTTTCACAGATGTCATTTAGATATCTTACTTTGACGGTAGGGCTTTTCAACGGCTTACACAGATCCGGAATGTAGTCCAATGAGACGGTATAAAATTGACCCTTATTCACATATGTCATCCTGTCGTCCTCTTTTCGCACCGACGTCGATATCGGAGCTTCCAGGACATACTGGAAACCCAAACTGTTCTCTCTGAAACAATCGTGTTTTAAACCACTCCACGCAATTTTTTGAAGAGATAAAAAAGTTCGTAAAAGTTTCATTAGAAATGTGTCAATGACTCGCGAGCTCATTCCAGTAATATCAGTAAGATCAGCTCACCAACTTTTCTTGGACGATTACTAGTAACCTCGACACCACTGTTCGAGATCATTGTTCAAATGGCAAAATCGACTTGGCAGGAAAAACTGACAAATTATTAGCAAGTAGAACTTAAAACTGATCACGTATGTGGTGTGTTGTTTACTGAATTGTTGGTCATGCAATTGTTTAGTGTATAAATGCATTGTCACTCTAATGCGAAAAGAATGACAGAAAGCTTCACTCGAAAAGCCGTTTTCTGCAAAATTATCAATATTCGAATATCATTATTTTCTGGATTTCATTTTCGTTAATTTTTTGGAAAATCAATTTCTTGACGTAATGGGAAAAAACCCAGTTTTCAGCAAGATCCCTTTATCGACTTTTGGGATGCACACTTGAAAATTTTCTCTTCCTGCAAAACTAACTGGGTCCGCCTTTTCCGGTGGTATTCAACAAATAGGATGTCAAATTTGTTGAAAACGATAAAATTTGCTCGGGAAAAAATGATAGTGTGAGAGACAAAATTCGCGACCTAATTCACACTACACCCAGTGCGCTAAAATTTGAAACCAAACTGAATGGGAAAGTAAGAAAAAAACAGAAAAAGCGAATAAACATAGATTTTGGCGCATAAGTAAAAATATACCTTATATTTTTTGGCTTCTGGATGAGTCATTGCCCCAAATTATTACCTACCAGACCCTTTATCGGATGGTAAGTTTAAAGCGCGTTTTGTAACATTCAATTCCTTTTACAGAACCCTTTTACAGAACACTTTGACATGAATAGCCAATTTTTTTGATTTCCAGTGACAAGTTAAATGTTCCAATGCCAACGAAAAATTGGGTTTTTTTAAAATTTTTGCCTGAAATTATGTGTGCGTGTGTTTTTTTTTTTTTGCTCCGAGTATAATTATTGTTATTTTAGAGGGAAGCTTTACAATTTCTGTGATTAAAAATAGCTTCAGGAGATGGGAATTTTGGGAACCAGTTTCTGAATAGCGATGCAACAGCAACAGCAGCGGCAGCAGTAGCAGTAGCACAACAGCAGCCTATCGGAAACCCCGCGTTTTGATTGATTGCTTGATAAAATAAATGCCAGTGAAAATACTCTTGTTGTGTATAATTAATTTGAGATAATCACTTATCAGAATAGCAAGCAGAGGAAAATTCCGTGAAGAGCGGAGCGGCATCAAGCGCATGTTTCCTGAGCGTTGCTCTACTAAGACGCAGAGGAGCAGAAGATGCCATTTTTTGGAACAAAACACACAATTGTGCCATCAAAAACTAAATCATACTCTAAAATTTTTAATCGCAAACTTTAACTTCGCATCGGAGGGAATTTTAAGGATTTGAAAGCAGAAAGGCGTAAAGTTTCTTTTAGCGTTACTGTGCTGGAATCAGTGGCAAACAGATAAGACACATGGTCAACAGCGAAATCAGGCGAATAAGCACTTGTTCTGACAGGATGATTAGTGGAACCAAAGATTTCTGCTATTTCGGAGCCCCTACTTCATCACAGGGGTATGGATTGTTCTCACAAGATCATGATTAAGTAGTCGAAGTAGAAAAGCGCTAAGGAAGACATGTATCACCTACAATGATAGAAAATAAAGATCTTACTTGTCGGGTAGTGGTGCCCGCACACATAAAGCAAACACTGGGTTGACTTTCCAGCAGATACTGACCAAGGAAATGAGTGGGTAAAAGTAGCCTTTGTTATTCGTTTTTGCATACATGTGAATTGCAAAAACGCATATTGGGAAGAGGCTGTCTATATGTGTGCGTGTGTGTGTGTGTCTGCGTGTTCGCATTTTTTGTCACTCACTTTAAACTCGAGAACCAGAAAAGCCAGAAGGCTGAAACTTTGGGAGTATGTGCCCATACCCTGCTCGACCCTCCCGTTTTAATTTTATCCCCCTCGGACGCTTGGGTGTCGTGTACGGACGCTTTAAAAAGAATATGCAAGTTTTTTGGCGAGAAAGCGATCTCGGGAACCACACGAGCTACGGGGCTGAAACTTTGTAGGGATATTCCCTGTACGTGTACTAACTAAAGATTTCAAATTCAGCCTCTTCAGCTCCTATGTATGCGTGGCACTCACGCAAGCGTACATGAAAGTTTTAGGGGGGAAACTGCTAACTTGGGTACCAGGAGAGCTAGAAAGCAGAAATATTGGGGTAATGTTCCCCATCCAGATACAACTCAAATATTTCAAATTCAGCCCGAAGTAATGCAAGGGCATATGAAAGTTTCTGCAAGAAAATTACTAACTCGGCAACCAGAAGAGCTGGAACACTGAAATTTTAGACGGATGTTCTCTGTCCACATGC